TGTATCGGCAAAAGGTTCACTCCACGCATGCATGGTCACGGGTTTGAATCACGGACTACTTCCCTCACTCTGTAGTTGGTTAATTGGTACCAGACGCGTGTGGGAGGATAAAAAAGCTTACTTCAACATTGGCTGGCCACTGCAAGTCATGGTTAGGCCACATATCCTGTCAACACGTCACTACGATTCTGAATGGAAGTCTAAAGAGTGGAGGGTATCCCTCAGACGGGATTGATTAACACCCCAAGACTCTAGCCTCTCAGACTTTATGTCAGTCATTTTGCCTTCTTAAAATCGAAAGAATTCAGTGGAAGAAGAGCTGTCAGAATAGTCGGTTTGTTGAAAAGTTGGCATAACTCTACTCAGATGATGAGGTAATACTTGAGTGGCTGCAGAGGATACAGTAGGGCTTTCCAATTGGATCAAAATACTCATAAATTTGTATAGATAATGGCAATTCCTAATGGTAATCGTTACTAAAAGGAGATAGTAAGATCTCAAAAAATCACTCACCACCCGCCGGTCCACATGGCGTGAAGCAGACGCGTTGGCGTCAGCTCTCCGGATGTCTCATTTATACCGCTACCGAAAACAAATAGGCGCAGGATCTGTCCGGCCTTCAAGCCCTGTCGGACGTCGAAGGCCGGATTCGGTGGCGTAATGTGTCGTTGATTTCACGCCAGTCCAATTCTCGCGCTTCTTTCGAGAAAACCAAACAAATCGAATCGGTCAATGTGAAATGTTTTTGGAGCGTGCACTCCGGTTTCTTTCGAAGCTCAGAGATCGAATTCGGTCAAGGATGGGAGCTGATTATGGGAAGTTCAAGGTTCGTCCAGTTAGGGGGAACATGGATGAATAACGAAATATTTTCTATAAAGTGCCGTAGTTGGTTTGAAAATTTATTTGAGCCGAAGTGATACAATTTGAAACCAGCATCCTTGAGTGTACCGTCCATGGGATTGAATTACCTGGGATACAGTTTGGGTCGAATTGCCGAGCTCTAACTCGGTAATCGGTTGGGAAAAAAATCAAATCATTGAAACCAACAGTAGTTAAAGGCACAGTTCACAATAAAAATGATTTCTGAGATTCCCCTATAGTATGAATTCGGGGCTCGTCATACAGGGTGACCCACATGAAGGAAGGGCAATAAAAAAATCAACTTATGGGCTTTTGGGC